TCATTCTGTTGCGGCGTGCAATCCATTCCAACAATATAATCCTTTAAATTAATTTTCGTTACGACGTGCAACCCGCTCCAACAATATAAACTTAAAATAAAATCTGTTGCGGCATGCAACTCGATCCAACAATATAATTTTTCAATTTAATTGACAAGTAATATTGTTGGATAGGGTTGCACGCCGTAATAAATTTTATTTTAAGTTTATATTATTGGAGCGGGTTGCACGTTGCAATAAAAATTAATTTGTAGGATTATATTGTTGGAATGGGTTGCACGACACAACATAATGATAAAAGAAATAATCGGCTATGACTATTGAATTGACTTCAGTTATTGATATGATTTAATTGTCTTACCTCTATTCCTATTATTATTATTATTATTATTATTATTATTATTATTATTATTATTATTATTATTATTATTATTATTATTATTATTATTATTATTCTTATTGTTATTATTGTTATTGTTATTATTGTTATTATTATTATTGTTATTATTCTTATTGTTATTATTGTTATTGTTATTATTATTATTGTTATTATTATTATTATTATTGTTATTATTATTATTATTATTATTATTATTATTATTATTATTATTATTATTGCGTACATGTTAAGGTAAGCGACCTACCTTAGCCTCGTTACTACTTCGTCGAGGTTAGGCTCGGCACTTACAGAGTACATGGGGGCGGTTGTACTCATACTACACTCTGTACTTATTGTGCAAATACCGGAGTTGGTCCCAGTGGCGTACTGCATATTTGCACAGATTCAGCTATCAGAGGAGACTCAAGGTATTGCTGCACGATATTTGCAGCTCTGAAGTTCCCTTCTATTTTATCTTCGCTGTGTGCTTTCTTCCAGATAACTTTATTTTTATTCAGACCCTTGTTTGTATTATTCTAAAAGCTCGTACACTTGTGACTCCAGTTCTGGGATGGTATTTAGACATCGTTATCATTTTGGTTTGTTTACTTTAATTCAGATATTATTCCAGTTGTTGGTTTCTTTACTATTTAATTAAGATGAATTGTTAAAAAAATAGTTAAAATATTCTAACGTTGGCTTGCCTAGCAAGTGAAATGTTAGGCGCCATCACAGTCCGAAGGTGAGAATTTCGGGTCGTGACAAGTTGGTATCAGAGCGGTGGGCCCCAGTCCCGATTTTATGCTTTTCCAGCTAGGCCTGAGGTCGAATCATCTGATGTCGTGATTGCAGGCATTATTCTAGTTTGCCGTAGAGATGCTTCAGTTGTATTTGATCCAAGTTCTTCCCACCAGACCAGATACCAGTGAGTTGAACCGCACGTGGAGACTTCAAAGTATATCTGCCAGAGTCAACAGACCTTAGAGTCCCCCCTCTATCTTTACTATGTTGTTTTTCCTTATTCTCCTTAGACTCTAATGTATAGAGACCTAGTATTTTCTCTTAGAAGCTTGTGAATTATTTCCATCGGGTTTTGGGAGTTGTAATTATTGAATGGCAGTTTTATATTTATATATCATGTGTTGAGATGGGAGTTTAGTTTATTATTCATTGATTCCGCAAATTTGTTAGGCTTACGTAGTCTTAGAGACTAGGTGCCATCACGACATCCTACGAAGGGAAAAATGGGATCGTGACAAATACTATCTATGAATGTAGAGTTGAACTCAAAAGTGAGAATTTTAGATTGCATATAGGATTAAATAGAGCAGGTTCTTGAACCCCGAGCATCGGGAAACAAATTCGCAATTAGGATAGAAATATACTTAATTGCCTTGTTTGGTTGAAATACAGGAAGTGTAAATAAATTCTTGTTAGTTTTAATTCCATAGACATATAGGCATTAAGTTAGCTTGAATAGGCGAGTAAGAACTGGACAGATTCTTATGAGTAATATCGACCATGTCAATCAACAATCCAGATAAATCAATTAGTCATTTTAAATCAAGAACATGACAAGATTGTTAGCTTGCCTATGAACTTGGAATATCCTCTCTTATTGATTTTTATCTGAAACTGCTTAAGTGTTATGGTTGATCTCTAGTTATTTCATTGCTTGATATTTCTTAGGTAGTAAATTAGTCACTTACATATTTTGTGAGAAATCTCCTGAATCGATAAGTTGTTTGAGTTTGAATCAGTCAAAAGTTAATCATAAGTATCCGTGGGAACGATACTCTACTCACTACTCTATTACTTGACGACCACGTATATTTGCGTGAGTGTGTTTGGTCGCAACAATAGACCCGCATACTGCCCTGTGGACTGAATCAGCTGCACCATATACTATTTGAGCTCGAAGTGTCCCGTGATGTCAGGATTCACGATAGCCTGAGTCATATTAGCAAGACTAGGCCTTGCGGCCTCAATCACCAGTCTTTCTTCATTTCCTGCCATCTTGATTGGCTGTGATTGGACTACAATACCAAACTCTGCAATTCTTGCTCTTTCTTTCACCTCCCTCCTTAACCTGTGGAAGAGTCTTTCGGGTTCAGGATCTCGAGGGGGAAAGTTGTTTAAACTGTTGCTTCTTCTTAGCATTCAAGGTAAATACCTGTAGAGTCAGAAACAGTCAAACAAATTAACACTGGAACAAAAACAAATAAGAGCTTATTTCAAACCAATAACTAATTTCTAAATCCCCGGCAACAGCGCCAAAAATTTGTTGGGTCCAAACGCACACGCAAGTCTACGCGGTAGACAAGTAATAAAGTGATAAAAAAGTATCGTTCCCACGATAATTTAATGCTTACGGGTTTCTGTAACGATCTCGAGTAAATTTTCAATAGTAACTGGGTTCACATTCAAACATTTATAGATATTTAGTAAATTCTTCGAACGCATTTACACTGTTTGGACAAAATTTATTAGGTTCACGTGAACCCGTAGGTTGGGAGGTGGCTCCGCCCCTGCCAAGAAAGGACTGGACCACAAGAGTCTATTTTACGCAGCCTTACTCTGCATTTCTGCAAGAGGTTGTTTTCACGGCTCGAACCCGTGACCTCCTATTCACATGACGGCAACTTTACTAGTTATGCCAAATCTCCCCTTCCTCGATCCTATTTTGCCAATAAAAGTATATTTGCATTAAGTGCCAATGGATAGTAGGATTTATAGTCAAATTCATATGGAAATAAGTTTTTCATTTAATAGTCAAAGTGGGTTTAATAGTAATATTATAAATACAGATATTACTACCTATTTTTCATGTGTTGCGATTTAAAAGATTATGAATGAATGATTAAAGTCTCCTACCTTCTTATCTATCTTGTTTGCTAGATTTCTTCTATACAGGCATTATTGAATCGTTTACTTGTTCACAAAGTACGTATTCTTTAAGGTATTTTTTATATTTTCAAGAGAGTATGATATTAAATTAAATCTATATCACTAGTACATACATAAATACAACATGATGAAAATTATAATGCAAGTTAAAATAGTTTGTGACGAAGCTAGCTGGCGTCATTAGCCCAAAGGCTGGGTGACGTCTGCTTGTATATATGGATAATGCAAAGAAGTCCTCTCTTTTTTGTAGTGTTGTGAAGATAGTCAATAAAAATTAAGACAATGTTTATTAGTAAAATAAGGCAAGCCTTGACTCTTTTAGCCACTGTCAGTATCCATTTAATTAATATGTTTACTTGTGGTAGTCCTAATATTAAGTAGTACTATGCCAGACGGTTGAACCTTATTATAAATCAAGGAATCAACTTATATAAAATTAGCTAATTAATGTCCTGGAATCAAACGATGCATGACTGAGCACAACTTCCCTTGCATGTTAAATTTTTGTTTAATCTAATCGAGGAGCTGGTATTTGCAAAACTACGAAATGCAAAATCCTAGGAACCTGTCTGTCTTCTCATTGCCTAGTCTTAATTTTAATTATGGGACTTCATCAGGAGAAGCCAAGCATTTCTTTTTCTTTCCAAAAAAAAAATCGTTTTCTTAAAGGTGAAAACTACCATTGTGGCCGGAAACAATAACAATATATCTAGTGTAATCTTACAAATAGGATCTGAAAAGGGTAGTGTGTACGTCGATCTTACCCTACGAATATGTAATGATCCCTATCCGTAAATTAACATCCAATAGCAATTCTAAACGTTCGGCGAAAACAAACTTATAGTAGTCTTTGCTCAAACTGAACTATGTGTATGATTTCAGAACAGAGTAAATAGTGGCACACCCTTCTAATTTGTCTTCTCTTACAAAAAAAGAAGAAATACCGATATAATAAATCGCAGAGTCGTCGCTAGCTAAGCAGATGACTTGTTTGTTAAATTTTTCCTTCCAATTAAATTCATTTCAAAGGGCTCATTCAGCATTTTATTTTGGTTTCTTAATTAATTTCTCCCTCACCAGTCACCCCTTTATACTCTAGCTAAGCTTTTTCGTGCGACAAGAACTTGCATAAATTGGTTCATCAAAAACAGCTTACATTTAAAAACAAATTACGTAGCGGCTTAGTGTGGTTATACACTTGATCATTAGGCGTGTTTCTGTTATGATCATCCCATTGGGCTCAGCTAAATAGTCGTTTGACCCCTTCCCTTATATCTTTCCTTAGCCAAAAGTCTACCAAAAATAACTTCTCTAGGTCTGTATACACACTACTCTCCTCAGAATCTACTTGTGGGAATACACTGGATTAATTTGTTGCTGTTGTTGTATAATCCATGTATGATATGTATATAATCAGATGTATAATTTATATATATGGGCTAAGAAAAGTAAATAATGAATCCAACTGGCTATTTATGTAAAGATTCCTTTTCCTATTAGGCACATCTGAGGTTGGTCCATTAGTAATCTCCTGTTAATTTAGCCTGCCAAATGTTTATCCTGCCCTTTCTTGATGCTTTTATCCGCTGTTTGAGCCTTTAACAGATGCACACTTAACTTTGCAATATTGCAATTTCTTTTTGGCTTGCCCTTATTTCAAAGAGGAAGAGAATCTTAGCTCAAATAAGACTGGAATTCGATATTAATACACCAATAAGAAATACAAGCATTGATTTGGAATAAAGTCGAAAATACATCAAGAAGCCGGCTGTAGCAGAAGATGATCCTCTGCAAAAGTCTGTGGTAGTAAAACAAAATTATTTAAATAATTTGTGACAGTGTTCACTTCCAATATAGATACCCATAACTGCTCAGTTACCATGCTACTATCCATTTACTTCCTCAACGTTTGTAATATGTATTCAGCATAAAGGTCCCTGCACAAACATTACAAAATATTAACCTCTTGGTAACATAAAATCTTAAAATGTGCATTCCAATTTGAATCGTACATGGAGTACTGGATGGCCTCAACGGCAGTATTTGGAGCCAGAAAGTCGTTAACAGCAACCTCTTTGTTCTCATTCTTCTTGTCTAACGAGCAGTCAAGGAAATTATACAGATTTTATATATATTCATAGATATAGTTAATTAAGAGATTAGAAGGATACAATCTTCAAAGAAGCGGCGGATTTCAGCGAGGCGGTGAGGGGGAAGCTGGTTTATATTAGTGTAGTGGCGATATTCTGGATCGTCAGCGCACACTGCTATGATTTTATCATCCTTCTCTCCCTGGATTTATATAGAAATTTTTGTTAGACTTCGTTTGTAATGAGGAATTGATTAATACTAAGTATTAACCCTGAGGACTAAAATAGGAACCTGATCGATCATAGGCATCAGTCCGATGGCTCTAGCTCGAAGGAAACAACCTGGGAGGACAGGTTCCTGTTGAAAAATGTAGTAAAATTTTGTTCAATTTTTGCCTGTTTTATGAATAAAGGCATTCATTTAATTTACCTACCTGCATGAGGACTAATACATCCATAGGGTCACTATCTTCACATAGCGTTCGAGGAATGAAGCCATAGTTCTGAGGGTAAACAACTGATGAATATAGCACCCGATCAACCTGTTCATATGTGTGAAAGAATTAGATAAAGGGATCCGGGTTCAATTCCCGGCAACAGAAAATCTTTTTGAAAGGGAGTCTTTCCCCGAGGTCACGGGTTCGAGCTGTGGAAACAGCCTCTTGCAGAAATGTAAGGTAAGACTGCGTACAATAGACCCTTGTGGTAGCAGAAGCTTTGTGCATCCTTTTTGTAAGTAATGTGTAATGCAAAGGAGCGTTCTTATATAATTCTATCTCATCATTCTAGCATTACCTTAATTAGACCAGTTTTCTTGTCAAGCTCGTACTTGACTTTGCTTCCTTTTGTTATCTCAATGACCTGTAAAGGTGCAATGTATAGGTCACGTAGCCAAATCACAGTTTCATTTCAAGTTAATAAAGAAATAAGCCCTTTCTTAGAACTTCCTACATAGAAGACAACCAATTTCTTTTCCCTTCCCCTCATCATAATCATAATTAAAAAGGGAGGAAAAAAATGCTGCAATTAATTAAGGAGGCTGGCTGTCATTTGTCTGTGGATGCAGGGGCGGAGGTAGTATGCTGGATAACGGTTCGGCCGAACTCAGTAACTTTTGGTCCAAAATCTATATTTGTCTCCAAAAATTAATTAAAAATGTACAAATTATTATATCAAGTATTTGATGAGTGTGGATCATTTCATGACATGAGGTTCACACACACACACACATATATATATATATATATATCAAGCCAAATTGATAGATTTGTGGCATTTTCTTCACTGCTGGTAATTTCATTTTTCTACGTACATTAGTTGAACTCAAGTTGATGCCTGAAGAAATTTGTAGTATATCAGCAGTAATAAAGCAGAGTGATTTAGTGTACTCACAACATTGAAAATGTTTGGAGCTTCAGGTCCTATATATATAAAAAGGAATGATCAGATCTAACTGCCAAAATTGCGAAGCACTGAATAATGACAAATGAGAGGGTAGATGTAGCTACCTATCTCGAGGTCATGCCAAGGATGGGCAGCAACAGATCTTCTGGACAAAGATGAAAGGATCCTCTCATTCAAACGAGGGGCTTGTCTTTGTTGATCACCGGCTTCAGTGCTCATGTTTCCTACTAATTAAACTAAGACAAAATCAATCAAATGCACGATGGATTTGTACACATTGAACAAACCTCTTTGGCTGCATACATAACTAAATAAAAATTGTTACTCCTTACACGTATTAATTGGTCCACATTTCACTTTTAGAATGTCACACAAATATTGCATATCCAATAAACGATTAACTTATGAAAAGAAAAGCAAGAACGAGGGGAGGAAATTGATGAAGAGAGAAATGATCAAGTCTCTTACCTTGGATTGAAAGAAAGATGAAGACGAAAGAGATGGTAGGAAAATATATATGAAATTAATCGACTGGAGAAGTTTCGTAACGCGAAGTGATATGCATACAAAATATAGTTTAGATATATAAGTTTGAAAGCAGGCCATGTATGGGTTGGTATACATTCCCTTTCCCTTGAAGCCTTCAAAGACCGTCCTTAATTTCCTCTTTCCTTTCCTTCTTTTAATGTCTTCCGTTTCTTTTTCGATTTGCGCGGGTCCTCTCTCTCACTCTATCTACACTTATCAAACCTATTTAACTTGCATAGTTAAAAATAAGAATATACATATTATTATAAACAGAGTAGGTTCCATATGGCCATGTATATTATTTTTATGACCCAGAAACGCCAAGAAACGACGTTAGTTATGGTAAGTCGTGAATATTACTCGCAAGGCAGTATCTGATGGTTCCATCAATTTGTTGGCCAATCGGAGCCCGTCAATCAAACTTAGGAAAATAATCATGTATATACACACAAGAAAAAATGGACATAATCATTAATTCCTGTTTTATGACCCCGAAACGTCAAAAGCGACATTAGTCATGGTGGCTATTGCTCACAAGGCAGTATCCGATGGTTCCATCAATTTTTAGACCAACCGGAGTTCGCCAGTAAAATTCAGAAAATGCATTATATATATACAGGCACGAAAAAAATAGACATAATTATTCATTCATGTTTAATGACCCCGAAACGCCAAAATATGATGCTAGTTATGGTGCGTATTGCTCACAAGGCAGTATCCGATGGTTCCATCAATTTTCAGGTCAGTCGGAGTCTGTTAACTTTTTGAGCACCGATAGGATCCAAATGGCCGTGCAAAGCACGGGTAGGTTCCATGTGGCCGTGCATAGTATTTCTATGAACCCAAAACATCAAAAAATGATGTTAACCATGGTGAGTAATGCTCACAAAATAGTATCCGATATTTTTATAAAATTTTAGGCCAATTGGAGTTTGTTAATCAAGTTCAAGAATATACACACACACACACACGAAAAAATTGTCACGGCCTAAATTTTTCTCTGTAGGATGTCGTGACGGAACCTAGTCTCTAAGACCAGGTAAGCCTAACACTTACTAAATTAAAGACAGAATTTAACTAGAACAACTACGAAGCATGAAACTGAAAGTTCTATAGTAAAACCAATTATCCTAAGTGTAATACAATACCCCAAAACCGGTATTACAAGTCATAAGCTCTACTAAGTTTGCTAGAAAATTCCTAAATACAAATGTTTCAGAACAGAATTAAGCAGTACAAGTACAATATTAGAAGGTGATCACTCTGAGGCTTACGAACGCGATCACAAGTTTACCTTGAGTCTCCACAGCAAAACTCGAACAGCTAGCTAGTGATCAACCAACTTCAAAATACTTGGATCTGCACAAAAATGTGCAAAAGGTATAGCATGAGTACACCACAGCAGTACCCAGTAAGTAGCAAGACTAACCTCGGTGGAGTAGTGATGAGGGACAGTCAAGACACCTACTGAACTAAAAACCCTGAACAAGTATAAATGTGAACTAGCAGAAGGCATTATCAACATAGAGCTAAACATGATAACAATAACAAAACAATGATCGTAATAGGAAACTAAGAACAATAATTAGCAACATGGAACAATAGGTAATAACGTTGTAGAGTAAGCTGAACGCAGTTTAAGTTCGGTGAAACCAAATAATGGAAATCAAGTAACAACTCAATAAGAACAACCGCTTTCACACCAGATTTATTCAAGAATTTCCACGAGGTACCAGACTTCATAATCACAAATCACGGGTCCCGATTCATGAACCCTGATCACTTGGCATCTTGTGCTCACATTACAATTCACAACCTCATGGACGACTCACGTGCCAAGAGAGTAACAATATCTAATATCCGCACGGACCACTCACGTGCCAACAATAACAATGACTCATGACCGAACGGACAACTCGCGTGCCAATAGAATGACTCTCACACAGAAGGCAAGTAAACGGGAGTACATGTAAATAGCCCAAGGTATAACTCACACAAGGTAGGGACACCACTACACAGACATCAACAATAACAATGCCCCCAGGCCATCACAAGTCATCACAAATCATTCTCCCACATAGCCCACCTTGTTTCACCACGTGCACAATAATAAAGTAAATGCCCGCCTTGTTTCGCCGCTCGCGCACAATAATATTCCCACCTTGTCTCGCCACATGCGCAAACCCACATATATAGCCCGCCTTGTCACGCTGCCTGTGCAAATATCAATAATAACAACAGCACGGACAACTCACATGCGAACACCCCGACAATCCTTACAACAATACCACGTGTGCCCAAACATAACAACATAATAAAATGACATTCACAACATGTGCCTATATGCCACAATATTTCCTCAAAACAGTTTCAATACCACAACCACGCCTAGACCTCGGCTCAACAACACTGAGTACGACAACAACAATAACAACAACAATAACACGAGAATACGACAAGTAAATCAACACAAGAACTTCAGAACACAAAGAAATGGAAGAATGAGTTCACATAGAAAGACACAACAGGGAATAATGGTTTCAACAAGAATAGCTCAATAAGGGAGAGATAATGTGTAACAATGTTTCCACTAAAGTACAGTTCGACTATAAGAGAGATAGAATGAATCAATGACCCCAAATAAGAATACGTCAACAATGAAAGGGATAACAAACTTCAATTAAGGCTAAGCAATTATGGAAGAGATAATAGTAATTTCAATCAAGGTTAAGCAATTATGGAAGAGATACTAATAACTTCAATTAAGGTTAAGCAATTACAGAAGAGATAATGATAACTTCAATTAGGGTTAAGCAATTACGGAAGAGATAATAATAACTTCAATTAAGGTGAAGCAATTACGGAAAAGATAGCATGACAATAAAAGGGTCAAAAGCTTCAATTAAGGCACATAAGAGTTTAATTGGCAATAAGGGTAGAACATGAATTAATTAATTCCAAATAAGACACGTAAGGGTGAATTGAGTAAGTGTAGGATTTAACATGACCAAACAACTTCATATATGATGAACATAAGAACCAAAGAGCTCTAAACGGTCAAATTTCTACAATTAAGCCAGAGTACGTACTTGTCACCATGCGTACACGACCTTCACATGACTCAATTAGCATAAATGACTCAAAGTTAGGCAAGATAATTACCTCAAAGAAGCTAGACCGATACTCTAAAATGACCTTGAAACGTCAGAAAATAAACTCAAAAGTCATGGCAAACAATGAGTATTGGTCACTAGACCATTTCCTATGGCCTACAAAATATTTCAGGTCAATCAGAATCTGTCAAAAATATTTTACAAAATCAACATGTATTATACACACGAAAAAGTGGACATAGTCATAAATTTGTATTGCATGACCCAGAAACGCCAGAAAATAAACTCGAAAGTCATGGCAAAACAATGAGTAATAGTCACTAAGACATTTCTTATGGACCTACAAAATTTCAGACCAATCAGAATCTGTAAAAAAATTCTACAAAATCAACTTGTATTAATACACATGTTATAGTAGATATAATCATAAATTCATATGGCATGACCTCGAACACTAGAAAATGAACTCGAAAGTCATGACGAAAAAATAAGTATTGTTCACTAAGTCATTTTCTATGGACCTACAAAATTTCAGGCCAATCAAAATCCGCCAAAAAAGTTAGACAAAATCAACATGTACTAATACACACGAAAAGGTATATTCATAAATCCATATTGCATGATCTTAAAATGCCAGAAAATAAACTCGGAAGTCATGCCGAATCAATTAGTATTGGTCACTAGGCCATTTCCTATGGACCTAAGAAATTTTAGACAAATCGGAGTATGTTAAAAAAATTCTACAAAATCAGCATGTACTAATACACCCAAAAAATTGGATATAATCACAAATTCATATTACATGACCATGAAACGCCATAAAATGAACCCGAAAATCACAGTGAAGCAATGAGTATTGGTCACCAGGACATTTCCTTAGACATACAAAATTTCAGGCCAATCAGAGTCTGCCAAAAGAATTCTACAAAATTAACATTCACTGATACACAAAAAAAATGAAAATAGTTATAAATTCATGTTTATAACCCCGAAATACTAACAAATGAACTCGAAATGCAAAAAAGAAATATTAGCAATGGAAAAATCATGAATATTAGTCACTAGGCCGGTTCCTGTGGACTTACAAAATTTCAGGCCAATCAGAGTCCGTCAAAATTTTTTACAAGATCAGCATGTACTAATACATATGAAAAAGTGAATATAATCATAAATTCGTGATGCATGACCTCGAAACACCAGAAAATAAACTCAAAAGTCATGACGAAATAATGAGTATTGGTCACTAGGCTGTTTCTAGTGGACACACAAAAGTTTAGGCCAATTAGAGTCTGCCCAAAAAATTCTAAAAATGAGCATGTACTAATACATACGAGAAAGTGGATATAATCATAAATTCGTATTGCATGACCTCAAAATGCCAAAAATTAAACTTGAAAGTCCTGTCGAAGAAATGTGTATTGATCAATAGGCCGTTTCCTACGAACCTACAATATTTCTCGCCAATCAAAGTCTGTCAATTTTTTTAATTAGAGTTCGTAAAAAATATTCTGCAAAATCAGCATGTACTAATACACATGAAAAAGTGGATATAATCATAAATTCATATTGTATGACTTTAAAACACTAGAAAATAAACTCGAAAGTCACGGTGAAACAATGAATATTGGTCATGTAGTACCCCCGAAAATTTTGAAGTACGTAAGCGCTATTAAGAAAGTTGATGTGCCCTAATTTTATTATTTTGTGCGCAGACGAGGACTATTAACATGATGGATATCAATTGGATATGATAATAAGTGTATGAGGCATATTATAAGTGATGTGGGGTCTAAGGATAGCCCTAAGTCCAAGTCAAGTTAGAAATTACATGATAGACTAAAGTTCCAAATGAGTATGCATATGACCAAACTTTGGACGTGTATGTCTACATATATATATGGAGTTATATGATAGACAACCTATAAAATGAAAGATCT